CGTGTGCGCGTGCGTGCGTGCGTGCGTGGGCGCGCGTGTGCGTGCGTGCGTGCGTGCGCGCGCGTGTGCGCGCGTGTGCGTGCGTGTGCGTGCGTGTGCGTGCATGTGCGTGCGTGTGCGTGCGTGCGTGTGCGTGCGTGTGCGTGGGTGCGTGCGTGCGTGCGTGCGTGTGTGTGTGTGTGTGTGTGTGTGCGCGCGCGCGCGTATAAAGTCGCCGTTCGCGCGATGAAGAATACAAGCACCAACTCAAACAACACGAGCACCAACTCAAAATCAATGATGGCTCCCTTACTGGTGGAACGCAACCTTTCATATGATTTTGCACAATTCCCAGCATCTGGCGCAACGCGGGGCTGGGCCGTTGGATCATCTGGACAGTGTTTTTGGGTGTTCCATTCTAGGCGACAGAAGCACCGTCATCATCATCATCATCTTCTTCTTCTTCTTCAGCATCAGCATCAGCATCAGCATCAGCATCAGCATCAGCATCAGCATCAGCATCAGCATCAGCACCATCATCATCATCATCATCATGATTATGATTCTCAACATTTCTCAATAAAGCAGGTTGTTGGTGGCTGTTGCAGAATGTTCACGTGGCGAATGTGCAGCACATCATCCAACACATCAATTATTGTTGTTATCATCCTTCTTCTTATTGTCATTCTTTTTGTTCTTCCTATTCTTATTCTTCTTCTTTTTCTGCTTCTTCTTCTTCTACTACTACTGCCTCATCTCATCTCCTCCTCTACCTGTGGTTCGCGAGATTTCGCGAGCGTCTACAAGATGGCTGGCATTCTTGTTTTCAACACGCCTCGACCAGCCTGCCGTTGCCTTGCGCGTTTCTTGGCCACATGCAGCACGTCCTCTTCATAAACCCGTTTGTCGGGCTCCTTCTGCCTGTCGCTCCTTTCCGGCACTCCCTCCCACTTGACCCGGATTGTTCCATGTTGTTCCACCCCCCCTTCTTCCCCACTCTCTGTGTTGTCCTCTGATCTGTCTTTCGCAGTTTCTTCAGTTGGCCTCTGCGGCCGTGGGTCGCATTTCCGGCTCATCATGGAGCCTGCACGGTCACACTACCTCACACTGAAACTAAAACAGAATGAGGATGTCATAGCCAAGGGGCAAGTGCTCTAAAAGCGACCGGCAGTCTTCGGACAACTTTTCATAACGAAGCCGCCCAGGAAAATCATAAGCCTCACATACTGCGAAATGGCTTGCTCTACAATCTGCAGCATATGTTCGAAACCCAAAAAGCATTCTTAGCGAAACCTTGGAAAGCATGGCAGGCTTCTGCAAGCATCTGGTTCGTCCCTTCCTTCCTGCCCTCCGTACCTCCCACAAAGCTCCCTCTCGGCCCAGAATGGACGAGGCACGTTCTTCCTGAGACGGTCGACAGCAGAAACTGTGCCAATACTGCCCTACCCAGTCAACACGTGAACATTACAAGAGCAAGGATTTATGCTGGACCCCTTTTCTGGGTCTTGGGTTTCCGTAATGAAAAAAGGAAAACCTCCATGGTTTTCCTATTTGAAAATACAGCAGAAATGACGAAACTTTCAAATGCGAAGGAACTAAGGGTTTTCCTGTATATAATAGAACTCAGAAGAAACCAAGTTTTCCTATGAAAATATAGAACAAATAGGGCTTTCCTACTAGAATTACTATGGCATGATTCAAGTAGTATGCCAGCATAGATCTCAAACAGTGAGAGACGAGAGCGTGTCAAGATCTCCTGACACGAGGATCACGATGACGATCAGCTCCGGAAAACACCCGTGTGAGGAGAGGCTTCCGAAGCACAAAATCCGACCCGAGACCATGTGCAAATAGAAAAATGGAAAGCATGCAACTTCAGGGAGTACGCTTCATGGCGTCGCGAAAGCACGACGTTGACGCCGCTGGAGCTCCAAACGTCCTCCGCGCATTGCCTTTGTACTACAGCCGACCTTTCGAGCCTCTGGCCGTGCATTGCCTTTGTACTACAGCCGACCTTTCGAGCCACTGGACCTCCCTGAACGCACGACCTCTTTACGGCATGATCTCTCCAGCAAGCTTGCAAGGCTTCAATGAAATGAAGAAGCCGGAGGTTGGGGGGGGGGCCGGCCGCAGCCCGCCCCATTTGCAAACGCAATATTCACGTGACAGGGTTGGAAAAGGATTTCGCATGTTTTCTTCACCCAAGTCCTCTGTTTTGGCATGAAATTCTTATCAAGCAAGCTTGCAGGGCTTCAAAACACGAAGTGGCGGGCCTCCGCGAACACAACGCTCGTATGACAAGTTTGGAAAGGATTGGCATGTATCTTAACGCAAGTCCTCTTCATAGCATGCTCTTTTAGCTTGCAAGGCCTCGTCAGATTCGCGCGTTTTCTCACAACACACATCCTCTTTAGGCAAGCTTGCAGGGCCCTGCAAATAAACGGGCACAAACCCCCCGCTTCCATTTGCAACAACAATGCTAGCATTTCAGGTTTGGAAAAGGATTGCTCTCGCGTCCTTTGTGGCATGATTTCTTTATCAAGCAAGCTTGCAAGACATCAGTATTCATTCGACAGGGTAATCGGAAAACCCCCATTGCTTCAGTCTCCCTGTAGTGCAATAGTAAAACCCCGAATTAGGGCTTCCTAGACCTAAAACAAAAAAAGGGGGGGTGGTCCAAAAACTTTTTGGGAGCCACATGACATTCCGCAGCAACGAAACGACTGCCCTGGATTGCATCGTGACAAGGCTCGCAGATTTCCAGCTCGGCGGTAAACCAACCTGCAGCTTCATATGCTCGGTACTGTGGTGACACTTCAGGCAGTTCATATAATTATAGCGGAAATGATTTCGGAAGGTGCCGGATGTCTGGGATACTTCTAATCTGCTCGCAACGTTTTTCACAGTGTTCCTGAGTGATGCTGAGCTCAGAGTACAACCTACTTCAACATGCATGCCTCAAGGACAGAGAGACTCACCATAAGCTGCAGGCAAGCCACAATCATATGATGCATGACGGCACCAATGGAAAAAATGTCGGCTGATCTTCCGTCGTAGGGCTTCGCACCAAACACCTGAGCGAGCGCCCAGCCTTGAAAAGTCTATATACAGGCTTGACAAAAACACTGCACAAAAACACGGCACGCACTTTTGCAGATAGCAGGCGAGTTCAAGAACAAAATACTTTACTTCGAACATCCCCACCCTCTCTGGTAGAGGCTGGGGCTGGGCACTCCGGGGACACTCTGGGCTTGGGCACTCCAGAATCTGGGGTTGGGCACTCCAGAGACACTCTGGGGCCGGGCACTCCGGGAACACTCTGGTTGGGCGATGGGCACTGGCACAGGGGGACTCTGGGCCTGCGCACTCCGGGAGACTCTAGGGTGGAGACGGTGGGGTTGGGGACGGGGCAATTCAAGGGCTGGGCAATTCGGGGACAGTCTGGATTTGGCACTTGAGGGGGACTCTGGGTCGGGCACTCCATCCAGAGTTGGGCACTCCACGAGGAGAAGAGTTCCGGGCGAGGAGAAGAGTTGAGTTTAAGATCTAACAACCCCACACCGAGGGTGGGGAATAATTACGAGCATTTTAAAACTTTCCATTGGTTTTACAAGGCCAGAACCGCAAAAAATGTCTCAACTCCCTGCAACCTCAGTCACCTCCGGGGCCATGTAACCCACTGTGCCAGCACACTTTGTTAGGAGTCGCTTCTCGGGGCGGTCATTCCTCACCACCCCAGCGATACCAAAGTCCACCAGCTTCAGGGGTGCATCCCCATGACCAGAACAGGCCTAAGATGGCCTCCTGCACTCTCATGCAAGAGCTCTCGAAGAAACTTCGAAGAACGGCGTGCATCGCATGCATATTGAAAGGCCGACCCTGGATCCTAACCGAAGCATTTGCATGCATGTTGTTAATCTCGGACAGGTATCGATTGGTATGGCACTTCCTGAAGCCGGCTCCCCGCAGCTGAACAGCAAATTCTGAGGTTTGATGTCCCTGTGGGCCACCTCAAACATATGCGGGAGATCAGCAGCAACTGCATCACAAGCCGACAGCTACAAATACCCTAACATCACTGAAGCTTCTAACCGCACTCCCAGAAGGTCCAGAACGCATCGATGGCCGGTCCTCTTGAACTACAACCTAACGTATACTCACATCGAGAGGTATACTCACATTGAGAGAAAGAGAGAGAGGGAGAGACGAACTCAATCAAGTCAAGCCGAAGAGGTGGTTTTGAATAACTTAACTACTGGTTGGAATCCAGGATCCCAAGCTAACTTACTTCATGTCAATATGTTAGTCAGTTTAACTATGTTTGCTTAGTCTGACTTATCTATCTCATTTAAGAAACCTTATAAATTAACATTTGTTTAACTAAGTTTGTCAAACTCATTCAAGAAATTAAAATTCAATGAAACTAGGTAAGCTAATGAGGCAGGACATGGAAAATAACCAAATCAAGTCGCATCGTTCTTTGAAACTAAGTCAACCAAGTAAAGTAACTAAACCAATTAAACCAAATGAACTAATGAAACCAATCCAACTAGTTCACCAGTTAACCGTTAACCTAACTAAATAACTAGTTGCATAATCTAGTTAAGTTAAGAAAATTGGCTTAACTAACTTCGGCAAAATCTTTTGATTAGTCGGGGATCCTGGATTCCTGGCCACAACTAACCCGTCCCATTCCAAAGGTAATTGTCTAAAACCTGCTGCACAAAACGAGTCTGACTTACATTTTCCAACGTTGGGCATCATTTTCTTTTCACTACAAATCAATCAAAACAGCAGATTGCCTTACAAGCCAAGAGTCAAGATAACATGACAACTCAGACGCAAACATGACTGTGTGGAAAGATTCTCGGGAACGGGGAGTTCAGTGATCAAGTCGAAGCACGTGTCATGAACTCATGAACAAACAACCGAAAAACTCATACTGTGAGAGCTTCTTTTGGTTTCCAGGTTTACCCTGGACCCTAAACCACTGGAAGCTCATGCTAGGACGGCTGTTTGTGCAAAGGTTTGGGATCAAGCACCACTCTGTTAACTCTTCAAAACAAAAGCTGTCCAAACTCCAAGAATCCGACTTTTTCAAGGTCTTGAGGTGCTGCATCAGAATCAAGCACTATCCGACCAGGTTGGAGAGAGAAAGGCACGTCCTCTTCGCTTGCTTTCGGGTACATGCAGTACTGACCGCTGCGAGAACTGGTGGGTCAACAACTGCTCGGTCTAGTGGTCTGATTTGCCTAGTGGCTTTGGCCTTGTAGTTCTCGTTCATTTTGCTTCTAGCCAGTTCTTTTGGATCCAGCTCACCAAACCAAAGTACTTATGCAAACTGTGCAGAGATGTGAACAGGCAAAGGGAAACAGATTTGCTGCAGAGTGGTTAGTGTTTCCGCAGGTCTTGCGGAATACCCGGGCTCTTAGATAAAGCAAATGAAATATGCTAGTTTAGTTTGTTCAATCAAATTCAATAATATGGGTGAAATAATATTCGGTAATTTTCTTCAGCAAAGCTGGTTTTTCGAATCTTGTCACTTTATTCAAGTTTCCGTAGGTTCTCCGCAATTTTTCCGCGAATGGTCTTTCGCCCCTTGACCCCTCGGGAATGACCAGGGAGGTCTTGCGAAATCTCCGCTGATTTCCCCCAACTTTTTCGCTCGCTTTCCGTATTTCAATGCTCTCTCTTGTCCCTCGGCCACCTATTGCTGGGTTGGACGACGCAGCCCGAAGGAGTCTTTGGCCCTGTCCCTTCTACATGGTTCTGCATCCTTCAGGCCGAGCCCTCCCAAGACCCGAGACAGCCCCCCATGGCAGCGTAGAAGAGGCCCCTGCGTTGAGGAACAGACAAGTGTTGTGATTTGCTGCGTCCTTTTGCCTGCAAGATTCTCTTGTTCAACTGTCGACTTTGTATCACTCAAGCGACGTTCAAGCCTTCGAGTGTAGAGTCCTGCTGTTTTTGGTGAGAAAGCGACTTGTCACCGGGGAAAAAAAGAACGAAAGAAACTCGCATTGTGTGTGGGTGCATGTGCAAGCGTGAGACTGAAGATCTGAAGGTCCCGGCTCCAAAAGCACTGTGTTTTAGCCATAGATCTGCATGCTGCCGCCATCGGGAAATTGAGCCTGTGACGGTGTGGCGTTTGGTCGTGGAACGCAAGGAAAAAATTGATGCTGTCTCAACTCCAGGGGTGATAGCGGTTTGGGCGTTGACCGAGAAGGCAGAGCAAGTGTGTACAGAACATATTCGTTTAACTACAGCATGTGACTTACATGTGCGCCTCGAGAGCGCCGGACGAAAGGCGGCAGGGCGAAACACCGCCAGCTCAACAGCACATTTCCATGAAATCAAAGAATTGGCCAGTGGCTTTGGCATGTCCTGCGGTGGGCTCTGGTCAGCATCAGAAACGCTAGCGAACGGCAGCTCTGAAACGTTCGAGGGTGGCAGGGATTCGACATTTGCTTCAGCAGTGCCAAAGAGCAGAGGCAATGACAACCCCCCCCAAGGATGAGGTGTACCCTCCTTCAGGGCACAGCGACGTTGCTGAGTGAGATCAATGCTAGGGCAGCTTGACGCTGGCGGGGCTTGAAGCGGACAAGGGCAGAGACTGAGACGGCAGGGCTCTCCAGCGAGATTCTAAAGATGGAGCCCATCACGGCCATTAAGCACCGGCTGTAAGGCATGCATGAGATCCATGATCCAGTCAGCATGCTGCCAAGCTCCTCCGTGTGGTCGCCCGTCCGACAGCAACTTTCAGAGAAACCAGGGCGAGAGCAAGACGTTTGTGGGGGACAGGTAAAGCCACTCCTTCAGGCCAGGCTTAACTGACTCGTGGAGTGCTGCGGAGGAGCACCTCATCCGGGTCCAGGTCATCGGCAAGTGTGGAAGGAGTCACAGGAGCAGCTGCGATTGCGAACAGGTTATCTATCTACCAGGGCCCATCACGGCTGACTAGAAGGTGGCCTTTGCCCTTTGGGCCTGCCACATCATCCCCACGGAAGAGCAAGACCAGATATTCTCCTCCGCGCCGTGGCTTTGAGTTTCTTGACTTTACCCAGGCAACGAAATCATCATGGGCACGTGGCCTTCGAAAGCACGCAGGGGGAAACCTGGACCGGTGGCGTTCCCAAAAAGCCTTGCTTCTCGACACAAGGGACTGGTGGTAGAACTCCTTTCTATTAACAACAGAGCCGAGAAGGTCGCGGCTGCAACGAGGACGGTGATCTTCGTGATGACTGGGGGTCTGTCCTGCCCTGTAAATTTCCAGGCTCCGAAAATTCCGAGTCATTTGGAGACATCTCCGCTTCAGGACTATAGAGACTTGGCATCCCATGTGGTTTGAACCCAAGGCCCAAGGACACAGAACAAACACAAAGCCAGGCTAGTTGTCCCGTCAAGTCACCGAATGAGCATGGCAGTAAGCGATGCCCTGCAAGATCTGCACGGCAATTCGCGCAAGCTCATCCTCGGACACGCCTGGCCCGTAAGAGTCATGGGCGCTCCTTCAGCAGGGCTCGAAGGCAAGTAAGGATATTATTGGGCCTGACAAAGAAAAGCCAACGGATGCAAACAATGATGCAAACTGCTGTAACAACTAATAGAAAGAGTGAATTACACCAATTTGTGTTTTAATGACACCTTTCCGAAAACAGAACTCTCTCGGCCGTGTCAAGTCAAACAAGGCTCTCGATGTACTGGGCCAGCGAGCCGCCGGAGCAGAGCTCCATGACCAGGTGGATGTCTTTTGCCTCGGCCCTAAACAAGTATAAACCGTGGGAACAGCATGGCCAGCAGCCAGACGGCTACACCATATCACTTCTTGTGATAATGCATTCTCACACCAATGCCGAGGGCTCACGCAACACTGCAGTTCATGTCGCGCCAAGCCACATCCTCAAAGGTTTCGTAGTATCTCACAGTGTTGGGATGATCCGACAGCCTTGACCGATTCATGCGCCAATACAAGCAGTGAGTGCGGCAGATGCTCTTCCGTCAAGTCCGACACAGCAAAGACTTGCCCCGACGACTCAAACAGAAGATCCTCATAAGCTTGCTTCTGCGTTAACGGGATGTCTGCCACATTTGACAACGAAATAGCCCAGGAGCTTCAGAAACTCTACCTCCATCTGCAATGCCTCCTCATCCCTAAGCTTATCTTTGCTGATGCTCTTGATGGCCACAATTTCACCTTGGCTGAGCTCCATTCTGGTTCTATCCTTTAAGCACCTACGTCCACCTCCTAGTAGCATATGCAGCATAAATCTTCGCGCATGTCCATGAAACTGGTTCGACGATGCTTGGCTCGATGAACTGTGCCGAAACCACCTGCTCTGCAAGGCCGCATGCTTCCAACCATAGGCATGCGACGATATAGCACAGTTTGACACTCGCATCCCAGCCTTTGCCAACAATGTCCATGAACTCATACCTTGAAACACCGACATTGCCATCTAAGGCAGGAACACATTGCACCATGGCTGCACGAACCACGCGCATACTTCTGCACTGCTGCAAGTTGTGAATGGACTCGTTCACGAGTGCAGACTCCCGAACTCGCTCATGTCTGCGCCAAGCAATGAAGGAGCCTCTGGCAAACCTTGCTCTGCACCCTCTTTGCCGGAAGCAGCTCGAGATCATGCAGGCTGCTGCGAAACCAATGCAAAGCATCTGAGCATGCTAAGGAAGAATGGGCTCTGAAACAGTAAAGAGACCCACCCGTCTTGGGTCCAGGAAGATACCGCCTGAATGCGCCATCATCTCGATGCTCCTTGCTGCTTTCTTTCAGGGGTTGCATTCAAAAACACCAAGTTGAAGCTCCATGCAAACGTGCGCAACGAAAACACGTCAGCCAATCTGAACAAACATTGAAAATGGTTTCCAAGCGGAGCAGGTTTCAATTTCTGTTAGGGTTGCATGCCCTCGAGATGCAGGCAATGCCAGCTTCGCCTTCACTGAACTTCACCCGAGCAAAAATCAAAAATCGACAACCTCTCTCTCTCTCTCTCACTCTCACTCTCACTCTCAGGCAAGGCAGCTCCAAACCCTGTCTCACAGCGGCGCCTTTGGCGGCCAATTCAGGCGAACTTCGGAAAAAGAATGTGGAGACGAGATACAGATGCTGACTTCCAAAGCGCAGTCACCCGCAACCTGCCCATGTGGGCCAAGATGGGCCAAGTGTCCCGGCGAAGCCAGCGAAACCGTGGGCAGACTGGGCCAAGAGCACCACAGGCCATGGAGAGCTGCAAGAGTGGCGGCAAAGCAAGACAAAAGAATTGAGGAAATCATTCTGTTGTCCCGTCAACATCTTGGGGGTCTGTGCTGCCTGTGCTAAGCTTCTGCCACTGCAAGTTGATGAGGATCGGGTTGCAAGTACGCTAACGACTGGCCACACCTCCATGGTGTGGGTGGCATTCCCGCGCGTGGTGCGAGAAGGACGTTGGGGTCAGGTTTTTCGTGCTTGAAAGGACGGCAAGCGCGGCGAATTTGGAAGACGACATGAAAGAGTATTTTGAGGGAGGTTCCGCTGACGGTCTGCGCAGAACTTAGCACTTTTCTCGGCACTGCGACAACCCCTGGGCAGTGGCAGTACCAGTGTGTTGAGCATGTACGCAAAACGCATGACCGCTTGTGACAGTGCGTCTTGTTCCAGAAGCGTCCAACCCTTGTGCAAAGCAAATGCGCGCCTGTTGGGCATGTTCGCAAAAGGCATGCATGCTTGTGACTGCGCGTCATGTCCCCGAAACCTCACAAATCCTTGTGCCGTATGCTGTGGCACGAGGAAAAAAGCCATGAATAACAGTGCTTTGGAAACGAACCATTACAAGAAGAAGCATTTCTTGAGAAAGAAGAACTTTGATTTGTCCGTGGAAAAGCAAGTGTCCTTTGAATTTGTTTCAGGGTAAGAATGGTTTTCGAGAGCGTTCTCATCTCGGAACATTCGTATGGCGACAATGCCCTATGCACTGGAATTTCCAGAACTTTTGCCTCTTCCTACAACACAGGGCGCAAGGGTGTTTGATGTTTCTACGGGCAAGACACGAACATGCACAAAGCACTGGTGTTTACAGCGATTTTGCCTTTTTGTACCAAACTGCTGCACGCGGATGCTTGACGTTTCTGGCACAAAACGCACTGTCACTAGCGGTCATGCCTGCTGCGAACATGCCAATAATCTGCCCTCTTCTCCATACAAGACGTGAGATGCAACTATCCGGCGTTGGGTTGCCGATCCCTTCCTAAGTCTCGCTCCGTTGCCATGTGACTGGATTTGCCCCGTTCGGGCTCCTACTATGAAACCTTGCCTCTTGAAGAGAAAGACGATCTTATCTCTTCAAGGGAGATGACAAAGTGCCTCTACCACATAATCGGAAATCAAAAATGGAGGGGAACCAAAATGGCTTCAACTTTCAGCGTCCTAAAGGCCCTCTCCACCCTCAACACTCTCCTATGGGAGTTGGTGTCTTTTCATTCCCATTGTGAGGTAGAAAGATGTAGAAAGCCCGTCTATGATGATTGACCCCAACGAGCCCGTCCCCTCCCCACTCATACCATTTGTTTAGCCTACTTCTCTTCGCTCCACACCTCCACCACAGGAAAGTGGGAATACTCAATTACAGGATTCTTCAAACCGACGCCCTTCAATTTCCCATGTTCCATTCACGTAGCCCTTTCTCCTCGCAATGGAATGAATCACAGCCGACTGTACACTGGGTGGAACGCATTCCTTTCTCAACACAACGATGTGTTAAGGACCATGAAACAGCTGGTCAGCTGGATACAGGGCCTAGCCCACAACGATGTCAATGAGCATCCTCGACTTTATCTGCACTGGCACTGAATGTACGACATGTCATGTTCATTTGGGCCCGATGCTATTGACTAGTGAAACATGGCACGGGGAAGCCCCGAGATGCCAGCATCAAGCTGCACAAGGATGCTGCCAGATCAGGGAAGCCCCCAGTCCTGCAAGCAGACTTGTACGCTATCACATTCACCTTGGGCGCTGGCCGAAGCGATTCCGACATTCGTTAACGGTTCCGAGCGGAGTAGTCATGAGTCATAAGCCATTGAAGTGGAAACGACAAAAGCCTGGCAACTTCAGCATCAGCACAGCAGCATTTTGAGCTAAGTCCCATGCTTTGCAAGTTCCATCCTTAAGGCCTTTTTGGCGAACATCGTGCCTCCGGCAAGGGCTAACAGAAGCTAAGGCGAAAGGTCTACACTGACGTTGCCAGGCGTGCGGACCGCCTTGCTTGCCAAATGCTTGCATACTCTAGACACAGATCCGAACATATCCAAACCTTTGGAATCATTGCAGTTGTGACGGGAACTGCATTCAAATCTATTCACCCAAGGTCAACCTGGTCCACCCACACGACCCTGCAAAGTGTACTCGATTTCCTTGCACCATGTCTTCTCATAATAACTTCTCACAAGTTTTGGGCCCAGTTGGGGCGATAAAGGTTCAGGGGCCAAGGCTGCAGCTTTAGCTTTGTGGCGGGAAACCATGGGAAACCATGGGAAACCATGGGAAACCATGGGAAACCATGTCTCGTATGCTGTGTGCGGCGTATGTAGAATGCCCACTAGGGACGTGACATTTTCATGTTAATGTTCCGCACACTTGGTTTTGGAGGCCCTGCAATCATCATCCAACCTTGTATTCCAAAGCACACTCTCGCTAACGAGCGTTGAAGGAAGGTGCTTGTGGCTTATGGAAAACCTCAGCAGGTGTCAGCTGGCTTTGGGGTGCATCGGCCAGGACCTTCCGAAAACTGCATCCCTCCTGCTTTCTTTTCAGGCTATCAGCGGCTGGCAACACTTGACACAGCCTTGCTGAAAGTTCCTCTCGCCCCATGCCAAGGATACTGCAGAACCCTGCAAAGGCCGAAGTTCTTTCCACGTCACTGCTAAGTTTAGAACCTGCTTTTTTTTGGACAGCGTTCGGTCATGTTCGGTCATGTTCTCCTTCTTCCTTTCACTCCAGAAAAAGCCGTGGGCTCGAGATGCTCACCCGGGCCATGGAAGCCTCGCAGCAATCGCAGCGGGCCCTCTTTTGAGGGCTCTTACGTTGGGCGATCTCTCTCTTAAGAGGCGAGGAGGAGGAGGAGGCGGAGGAGGGTGAGGAGTCTCCACGAACGAATGTGTTCTCCACAATGGGGAGCTAGAACAATTTTGCAAACCTGTTACAGAATCCAACACAAGCAGTGGTTCAGCTGCAGTTGGCTTGCGGGCAAATGTTGGCATCAGAACCACGCGAATGTAGCCTGAATGACGTCTTTTTTGCTATCGATTCTCAGATCAGCGCCCGAGGGATGAACAGGCAATTGTTCAAATCTGTTAGAATTGCAGGGACAACCCTTAATGCAGCTTCGAACCGCGGGTTTTGGAACAGAACGGCGCACTGTGCATTGTCAGAAATGCTTGCGCGTGGGCACTTAATGTCGAAGAGGCCTCCAGGCCTCCGGCCTCCAGGTCTCTTAGCAAAATTTCGACTGCAGTCGCATCCGACATCCTCATGCTGACAAGCCTGCGACTAGTCTGCGAGGGTTCGTGTAGCTGGGTGGATTCAAGAGGCCCCCCAAGTGCCAAACAGCAAGATCTTGTCAGCCGGACCCTGAAAACCATCTTTACCTCGCAAAAAGCTTGCCGGCAGCCTCATCGATGAGAGCTGCCACAGGTTGCTGATGCACTGTCGACGCAACTATCAAGGCGGAGCGCTCCACCTTCGGCATGTTCGAAGCATTGCAAGGCATGGGAAAGCCTGTGTTGAGCATCAAGCCACGATGGGCAACACAAACCCAAATGAGATATGCTTCACTGCGGAGGCGCAACTAGTATGTGCGTTCTGAAGCAGCCAGGTGGGACAGGTGAAGAAACCACAATGTGGCCTTGTCGATGGGGTTCACATTGTCCTGGACAACCTTCATCGGAAGCTGCGCTAGTTGCTGCACTCGAAGCCCAAAAGATCTGCAGCATAGCCGAGCAACTCTTGCTTTGCACGCTACAGACAACCTCGTAAAGTGAAGCTTCGTCACGCTCTGCAACCCGTTTATAACGTGCCAAGATAGTCTTCCGTAGCTTGGCAGCTGTTTCTGTGACTGTCTTGTCGAAGCAGTGCGTTGCGGCCTTGGTCTTGCGATGTTCTGAGCATGCCGGCACAACGCAATACAATGTCCCAGAGAATACCTCAATTCTACACGAGCAGCAATCACGATGTGAAGGGCGGCATGGCTGAGAGGTATCGCACCAGACTTCGTAACGGCATCAAGCAAGTCGAAAGCCGCATCCTCTGCAACACTGCACTTTCACAATGGCAACGCGATAACCATAACAGTACCATAACCATTGCTAACCTGATGGCACAGCTCCGTGAATCCTTCTGTGTTTTCTGCTCGTCGAGGAAGAGGCTTGATGTGGAGGGTTGCGCCAGCAAGGCCTTCTGCGTCCGCTTTGTCCAGCAACTTCCAGGATTGATGATAGTCGGGCGCAGCGCACCTCAAGTGCAAGCTGCACAGTTGGCTCAGGCAGTACCGTCCGAGGCAGGTAAGTGTGTGAAAAAGGGGACGTCAGGGGCTTGCATGTGGCATTATGCGGTTGACCGACTCATTGCGTTCACAGGCCCTTGTTTTGAGCCAAAGTAACACTGAGTTGGGATGTGCTTCGACAACATGCAGGTCTCCACTAGCCCTACCATGCTTGTGGAGCCCTTCCGTCTTGGCGCTCCAACTTTCTGTTTGTCTTGTAACCTGCAGAGCACAGGGTTAAAAGTGTCTATGTTCTTACGCTTCCAGGCAGCCAACAGCACTTGACTGTGTTTGAAGAACTGGCTCCGGGCAGGGAAGTACACAAACGTCGCGCCACGTGAATCCATTCTGCTTGAAAAGTCCAAAGCTCACCATTACCAAGCTGACATTGGACTTGAGAAGGGGCTACGAAAGCTAGTCACCACAGGGGGGTGGCATGCAGCGAGTCGGCAGGACTTGGAGCCGCCGGCGCAGCTTTTTCCGTATTTCAGGCACATGCCTCAACCGGTTAGTCAGGTAAGATCGAAGACCCCTAAACTCGAAATCTGAAGCCCTAAAATCCTTCAGCCCCCTTGCTTCCCCCGCTGGAACCCCGTGTCGCAAACGAAGTTTAGGTACAGGGACGCTCTGTTCAGTACGACCTCTGCAAAGTACCACAGACCTTCAGAGCATGGTGACTGTGGGGGGCGGGGGAGGACCTTGGGGGGGGGTGGGGGGGGACCTTGTGGGGGGGGGGGAAAGGTGGTAGGGGGGGGGCCCCCCCCCCTACCTTATCCCACGCGCAACCACCTTAAAGGAGGGGGGGGGAAGGGGGGGGAGGGGGGGGTGGGGCGCCGGCACCTTATCCTTCGAAATGCTTCATGTGAGGTGAGGGGGGGGGGGGGGGGGGGCCCCCCCCCCAACCCCCACCTTAAGTCTTGGGTTTCGGACCTGTTAAGGTGTGGAACCCTTTTTTTCCCTGGAAGCTTCTTAACAAGGTGAATACCAGTGCATGGGTAAACGACAACTCCCGCCAGCTCCACAGAGCTAGCTTTCGTGATTCAGGCCCTCCTTTGCCCAGACTGCGTAGACTGCGTAATCGGAAAAGCTCACCCAAGCCCTAATGACGGCAGAAGATGAAGCATCTAATCTGAGTCTCAAACAAGACTCAGCAATCAGCCCCCACACAACATCCTGGCCACTAATGCCGAACGCAACATTGATTCGCACCTGGCAGTTCGTGCTTGAAATTGCTTGAACACCTGAAGCGAAGCCATCTGTCTATAATACCAAGGTCTGCATCCATGCACTCATTTTCTGCTGACGGCGGGCCTAATGAATCTACAAGTGCTGGTGAAGCCTTCGCACACTTCAACCGACCCTGCACCCACTTGGCCTGCCCATGTTGGCTTCTCCAGACCTAGTAGCTGAAGGGTATAGTATATAACATGTTCCAAAATGTGGCCTAGGTTCTGTCCGGAGCCAGTGTCTCGAACTGTGCATCCATCTGCTTGGGAACCTTCGTGTAGTCCCGGGCCTTGTGATCTCATTTTGCCCAGACAGTGTGTCATGTCCATGAGTGGCACATGTCCGTCCGAACATGTGTTTTCGGGAGATCACATTGGAGGATGCATTTTGATAAATACTGGGGTTGGCTTCAGGTCTCTTGTGCCAAGGCCACGGCATGTAGCAGGCCGCCGGACCCACCGGACCCCTCACCTGGTCCGGACACCTTTCCAGCAGACGGCGTCAAATTTATTCAAGCTGCACGTGGTTTAAGTACATGATACCACATGTACCATCATGTGCCCACCTCAGACGGCTGCCCCTGTGTGGGTTGGCCCGGACGGCTAGACGTCGCAGATGTCGCAGGTGCGGGTGCAGCATGTGCAGCGCTGCTCCGGTCGTCCCGGTCGCGATCCCGTTCCAAGGATCTGAGATGATCCGAGCATAACAACTGCTTTGCGGTTTGGGCTGATTTGCGTTCTGGGAGGTTCAGGTTTACAGCGCATGCACAGGTAGGCTTCGTGCAAGGCAAGGCACTTCTCTTCCATCTTCATCCTCTTGTGCACAACAGATGCCGATCGCGCCTCGTGTTGTCTAATACTCGCAGACCCCTACAGTCCCAAGCAAGTCCCAATCTCTTTCTCAGCCAAGAGTCTGCAGGCACAGCAGCCGAGCCCTGTGAGTCGTGAGTTGGGCAGCCATTCACATTGTGTTTCGCAGCTCCGGGCGAAAGATCTGACAGAACTGTTATGCCCGGAGAGCCTACGCGAGCGAAGGTAGAGAAAGAGAAGCGACTCCGAGCAGAGCACTGAAAAGAGTTTTCTACCAAGTGGAAAAGGAAAAGCACAAATGCAACCAAAGACGCCCATCCGATATTGCAATCCATCTCGCACTCTTCGCACTCAGACATGGGACTGGAGAGTCCACGCTCTGCGCATTCGTCCATGCCTTCCATGCTGTAGTCCTGAACATGGGGAACGCCTGCATATCTTTGCTGAATACAGCTCCGGCGGCGAGTGTGCGCAGATGGAACTATGAAGAACAAATGTGAACTTCTCAGCACACTGAGGTTTTTGGCCGGTCCGAGTCCGAGCCCGACCGCTGGGGGTGCAGGATGGGCTGCTTGTACTGGAGCTCCTGACCTGAGCAAGTGAGGGCGAAAGCTCAATCGAAAGCTCGAGTTTTGTGTTGGCTCTTGTCGATCGTGAAGCCAGAACGCGTGCTGCCAGGAGCTCAGCCTCCTTCTCCTGCTGGATCATGTCGTGCATAGCCTGACAAAGCCCCGAGTCTGTCAAAGCTGTTTGAAAACCTTTCATCCCCACCTTCACATGGCTTTTGACCATTTCCAACCGCCGAGCCGGGGCCACTTCTGCGCCTGTAGAACTGCGGAAACCGTCAGTACATTAGCATGGGAAGAGCCGCCGGGAAAGGCCTTCATCTTCGCTGAATGACAGCAGATCGCTGGGAATCCTTCACATGAGCAAGTAGTCTTTATTGGCTCAAGCACGAAGACTCTGGGCTCGTCGTGTCCCCACATCTAACAACCGTGCAGTTCCTCATGCGACGGTTGCTCATCCAAACTTGCCGTGATGCGCCAGAGGTGTGTGCGCACAGAAGACCACTCATTACAAGAACAGAGTGGCTGTAAGCGGCCAACCCATATATAGGCACTGCCAGAGGATTGAAGGCAAACCTGCAGCCATGACTCTGGTACTTGATGAAGAGATCCATCAGGTCCTGGGTAAGTTTGATCTCCTGCGGCCATCCGCATCAGAACCGTGGCCAATACGTCAACTGCAATCTCTGTCAAGACTGGGCCATTTGGTATATCACAAAGATCACCGGACACCCCCAACTCCCACATACTCCCACATACTCCCACCACTCCTTGGTGAGGCTGTCGTCTGGTAGGTTCAGCAGTCTCTCAAGCTGCGGCTTGATTTGAATCACCAAAACGCCAAAAAGCGTGCTTTCCAACCTGGGCTCTTTTGCCAGTGCCGTTTGTCAGTGCATAACAAAACCAGCTACCCATCTGGCAGTTTTGAACGTAGAAGGTCCTACAGCCACGTCAAGAAGCTCATTCTGCAGAGCCTACGCCGGAAACCAAGGAATAACTGACAGGTTCAAACCAGATTTTCTGGCAGCAGCAAGATTAGCATGCGCACACTGTGAACATGCCGTGAACACGCCGTGAACACGCCGTGAACAGCCGACATGTCGGAAGGCGAGTCCAGGTCGTACGATGAGCAGGGCTCTGGCCTATGCCGGGAAGGAGAAAGAGAAAGAGAAAGGGAAAGGGTAAGAGAATGAGAAAGATAAGGAGAAGGAGACCGAGAAAAAGAAAGAGACAGAGAGAGAGAGCGAGAAAGAGAGAGAGAGAGAGCGAGAGACAGAGCGAGAGCGAGATGGAGAAAGAGTGGGCGATATCTGATACACCTGAGTCTCAGTCTGCGCCGGGGGGGGGGGGGGAGCGAGAGAGTGAGAGAGCGAGAGAGCGAGAGAGCGAGGAGGAAGGAAGGAAGGAAAGAAAGGCCCACGAATTTACAAACCAAACCCAGTTCTTTGCAAAGTGAAACTGGTGGTTGTGTGTTCTTCCCCCACACATGCGACAGAACATACAAGTTTGAGATGACATTCTACAGTTTTAAAGCCGCGACAGACATGCGACTGAATATTTCTGTTTGCCAGCAGGACTTATCTTGTAAAGGCATTCCTACGTCTATCCTTACCCATCATTCAATCTCAATGCTGTGCTTGGCTTCTGGTCATGTCATGCTTCAGAGACAGACAAGCTGAACCTAGGTTTCCACTCAGGAAAATGGATTGAGCTTGCTGCATTGTCACGCAAAACAAGGCGAATCTGCGTTTCCTCCTTGGAACTTGTGGTCTTAGTAGAATGGGTATGCCGGGTACACCCACCAAGTATACACTTCGGGATAGGGTGGGGGCACTCGGTTCGCGAGCGCCATGCGCACAAACATGCAAAAACGCAGTACATCCGCCATGACATGAGTCCCAGTAGCTGCATCGACCGAAAGGCCTTGGCAAAAGCCTGCTGCTGTGGGGACAAGGAAGCGATGGCATCCTTGAACTCCTGATGCAGCGGAACTGCCGAAAGAGTCCAACCGTGTCCCACCCTTGCACCCGGTGCTGAAATGTAACTCCAGGACAAGTTCCAAACTCAATCAATCCACATTATGTTGCAGCTTATGGCCTTCGGCGTAGGTATCATTGACAGCTCTAGTGGAATGGTCAGCTCGTCTTTGTTCTGGAGGATGGCCTCGGAAGGCTTGCACACTGCAACGTGCTTGCCAAGATGAATCAGTGATGCACTGCGGTGACCAGAAGAACGCAAAACAAACACCGCACGCACGCACACAACAGACACGCACGGAAAGCTGCTGCTTGCACATGCTTGCACGAGCCGCTGCAAACTTGGGATCGAAGGAGGTCGCTGACGCGACGCGGCCAACTAGTACCAGCATGGAGCTGAACTGACGCGCTCTTGCGGAGAGGTAAAGAGCTGCACCGCTGGCTCCTCGCAGCGCAGTCCAGCATGTGGCTGAACTTAACGGCGTCTGCTGCAACGTTCAGTGCCTAGAGTGTGCCAAAATGCGCCCATCATGTTGCCAATGGTCTCCCTGTAATCGTGTTGGATCCCTGGTCCTGAGAAGCGGTGGGACAGCCAACCATGCAGATAGACATCACCTGTGTAGGAGACCTGCATCAGTCCCCCTTCACCCTGCCCCACCACAGCAAACCCGCGGCTTCTAACGACCTTGCCAAAGTTAGTTCAACAGAGGCAGCGGGGAAGAAGAGAAGAATCAATAGAGAATTCAGCCACAGCCAGCAGGCAGCCGCAACCTGGCCAAACCTGTAAACCCAGCCAACGGAGGGGGGCCGGTCTACAGTATGAAGTCAAATTTGCCGGACGATGCGTGGTCGAGCCAATCTTTGAAGGGTTCGCCATAAAGTCAAGCTTCCCAGGCATCGTAGGACTACTTCGCGTGGCGTGCACTTTGCAATCAACTGCCGGGCCGCCCTCGGCCCGAAAGTGGCTCCGACGGCTCTGGGGGCGAGACGGGGGAAGGGTCCAGCAATGACAGCTTTACCCCGACAACCGAAACCGTCAAGGAATACTCCTGGCGCTCAGCCGCTAATCCAGAGAAATTCGAAACGCCCCCAGGATGCCGGGAGGAATTGGACATGTCGACGAAACTCATGTATTTGGGAGCCATGTCGGTTTTAGGATGTTGAATGCATGCTTGCTCGGCTCTGCATTGTTTCCGTGAGTGCATTTTTGCAGGAAGCTTGCAGAAAACTAGTTTTGCTCTGATACCCGACGTCGGCCTCGTTATTAGAAGGGATATATACATCTGTATAAGTATATTTACCTTTTCATGAAACATGTTTTATTTTCGAAATAGTCATTCTATGCGAATTGAACTGCTAGAGTAATCATTAAGCAAATAGCACAGTTTGACTCAAGGGAATACTATCTAAAGGACTATACTCAAGCAAAACACGAAATACACACTAATGGAAAAAGAAGCGGTTCTACTTACATAACAATGAAACAAAGATTTCTGAAGTATTCAAGAAAGACCACTTATATATATATATATATATACTATGTCTGAAAAGCACAATTTGTAAACCCCCACAAGGATTGTTTTTCAACGATTGAGGGAAGGGGTGAAAGATTTCTGGCCTTTTGTACATGAGGAGGGCAAGGTGTGCAGGAGTCCAGGATGTGAGTCAGCAGCTTCCAGAGCACAGGTGACTGATCACATTTGCCTTCACGGACCAGGCCAATTAAGCACCTTAAAGTGCTTAACCGGCCCCCCATATCGTAGAGTGAAAATTGACATAATCTGCCATCCGGGGGGGCTACTTAACTTGATCTCGAATGTTTAGATGACGCTTCCTGCACTTTCAAATCGAGAATTAATTGAAGTTGGATTCTTACTTAGATTCAGTTCCTCCCAGTTTAGTAAGTGATATTTTTCGTTTTTAAAGTGCATGCAGAATTTAAATGAAAGTGCTAAAGATACTAGGTATTAGCGAATCTAATGAAGGCCCTTGATATTAGTTTTTCCCCATATGGATTCTAGCTAGTACACTTGGAGGACCATAAGTATGGCTGCAACGAATTTCAAGGATGGTTCGAACTACAATCGACTGGCAGAGGCAGCCAATTTAAACAGCTTCTTAAAGAGTTACCGATATAATGCACCTCCTCCGACCAATGAAATCATAAAGTCATTCCGCAATGCCAATTAACCCAAACACCCTTTTGCCTGCACCCGCCCTACACAGCTAAGCCCTAAAATCCTAATCTCTAGAACCCTAAAGCCCCCAAACCCTAAAACCAACCCACAGCAACACTAAAGGACTCAGCCCCGCCTACGAGAGCAGAGCGTTTTGTGCAATATGCGAGGTTTGCATGCACTCAAACTTGGTGCTGAGACAAATCTTGTGCAAATTTCGAGCAGGGTCACTGGTGCTACGGTGGAGGCAGTCAAGAAAAGAGCTCTGCGCAAGACCACCCTTCACATTGCTCAGTTTGGAGAGCATTGCTTGCGGGGAGCCTTCGGTTGCCGCCGTATATGCAGGCTACATGTGCGCCTTGATTTATGCAAGACTGCGCTTCTCCGATTTGCAGATGTGCTACCATGAGCCCTTGCGCCCACAACAGGGGCGGGGGGAGGGGGGTACCTGGACCATGGGAGGGGAGGCGGACAAGCCGGTTAAGATCTTAAGATAGATATCCTAGATGCGTCTCAGAGAACGTGCCCTCATACATAACCCCCCCCGGCTGCCCCATTGCTCAAGCGAGGGCAGTTAGCAAGCAACCTAAACATGCTGAGCAGAGTGCACAAGAAAACCTGTCGTCAGCAGAACTACAGTGATGATAAACAAATATCCAAGTGGAAAACAGCAGCTACTTGAAAGTTTAAGGCATTTAAAAGACCCTGCCTCCGTCGATGCATTTAGCGGAAAGGTCATGGTGCACCCGCTGGCACAGTTCGCAATGGTGACGATCCTGAGTTCAAAAGAGGTTTCCGAAACAGCTACATATACTACATGGCCGCATTCGATCCCAGCGGTGCTGCCTTCACTCGCTCACATCCTTGCCCCGAATACAGCTACGGCTACCACGATATGTTCTAGCTAACAGTGTGGGGCTGTGTTGGCTGCAGGCTGTGCTAACTTCACGGTGGCGAGGATCGGGCTTCGAATGCTGGATTCGTCAAGGCCCACTGCGTCCTCTTCGATGCTGACAGTCCCCTCTGGGCTGTGGTGCTCTGATCGCCGCACGGCGAAGCAGAACTGGCGGGGTTGGAAAGCCTCCAGAGAATGCTGAATTTAGCGTTTCGTTCCGGATACTGAGTCCTCTTGGGCACCACATGAAGATATACCGCGATATACTTCCCACCGCAGCTGGTTGGTACCCAGTTCGTGCAAAGGCACAGGTCGAAAAAGTCTTCGGTAGTGAAATCGCATATAAGCAGCAAATAGCGCTGGCGTGACCTGCACAGGGGCAGTGAAGACCAAACAAACCGAAGCTTCAGCAGCCTTTGCTGGCATCGCCTTGCGCAACGGCGCCAAATGCGTAATGTTGGAGTGTTCCCTAACCGTGTCCAGCTGACAACCTGCAGAACAGAAACTGTCCCAGCTTCTAGCCCTCCGGCCAGCCTCCTTGCCAATGGCATCTACCAACTGCTTGCGCAGCATAGCTTCCACCTTACCATCCGCGGGGTTGAAAAACATTGAAATGATAAGCTTAACTTCGCGAATTCTGCCACTGACATCCAAGTCTCAGTGGCAGTTCGTAGGTACAGCAACACTCACAACTCTAAGCCCGGCACATACTCCACCAGGTCACCCCAGCGCTTCGCGACGTTTTCACAATGCCGCAAAATTAAGTGAACAACGCAGTCCACGTGCGTGTAGACACCCTCGTTGCCTGGAAGGGCTTCCTGAGTGAAGAGTTGAAGGAGCCGACGCATGCTGAAAAAATATCATCCGAGGCACACTGATGTTTCCTTGTTGATCTTTGATGGTGCGGGTCTCCTCACAGTAGCACAAGACAAGGACTGGTGGAGGGTTTGAATGGTTTGGCTTCGGTGCGGCCAGCATTGTGTTGGGGAATGTCAGACTGTGTGGAAAGCTAATATTGGGGAACTTCAACTTGCAAGGTCAATTTCTCATAAAGCTATTGGATAAACCAATTGCATGGTCGTTTGGGGCTTAGGGCTTAAGGTTAGGGTTTCGGGTTTAGGGTTTAAGGTTTCGGGCTTGGGGAGAGGGGGGGGGGAGGGGGGGGGGGGGGAGGTTTAGGGAGGAGTTTTGGGGTTTGGGGGGGGGGAAGGGGGCGGGGTAGGCAAGCTTGTTGAGCGTTGGCAAACACCCACCCGCACAAAGAATCCATACAATTCAGAAATGCATAAACAGAATTAAGTTTTTTTCATGTGACTAGACGCACATTGAAGATAGAAGTGCCTTCACAACTGCACCACTACCCTGGATGGGTTTAGGCCCAGAAGCAAACCTCCATGGGGTGGTGGTCAGGATTTGCTTGGACCCTATGAGAAAAGCACGAAATTCATGCACAGATTTATTGGTAAAAATGATCCTCTCATTTTTCAGATCTTGGCTTCGACCCTAACCGCCGGACTATGGTTTCCCTGGAAAAGAGTTTAGGCCCTCAACGCTGGACTATAGTTCAAGCCCTATACCCTGGATTTGGAGTTCAGGCAATAAACCCTGGATTGGAGTTCAGACCCTGGAGTTTTATTTAGGCCCTAAACCCGGAGTTCAGGCCCTAAACTCTAAATTAGAGTTTAGGCCCTAAGCCCTGGATTGGAGTTCAGGCCGTGAAGGCTGGACTAGCCCTGGATTAAAGTGTAGGGCCTAAATCCTGGTTGGAGTTCAGGTAAAGCCTGCATTAGAGCTTGGGTTGGAGCTCAGTCTCCACCCTAGATCGGAGTTTAGGCCCTAAGAGGCTGTTTTGCCCTTTCAGGGGTCTCCGAGTTGCATTTTGCCTTGAAATTGGGCCTGAGGCGAGTGGGTGGCTGGAATTGTGGGGAAATGGTGGAGTGGGTCAAATTCAAAGAGAACAGGGCAAACAATCAAGTGAGTAACTTTGCAAGCCCAAGTTCCTCAGAGAGAAGCCCATTGGCATCCGACACGGAAAGGATACAGCCTGGGGTGCAGCTTGAACACTGACTCCCTGGACAACAACTGGCTGGTCCAGGTAGACCACTCTCTGAGGCGGGCGCTGTCTGGAACGTCTGTTGACAGATGCAGTGAGGCTAGCCTGAAGCATTCAAAGCCCAGCCTGCCCACGTGTGCTTTCAAAGGTCACCACACACATGAAGATGTCTTAAGCCCGGGCCAAGTCTTACAACTGCCATCACCATTGCCCGAACCCAAGTGACACAGAGGACTCTGCAGGTGAGCTTGGGCCGCTTGGAGTGGAAGTCCGACAGCTCACCTGAGCACATCTCCAAGCCCGTTGCCGCAAAAGCTCTCACCTCCACACAACGATCTCCCACGATAAACCCCAAACAACAGTCCCTGCGCTGTTCTCAACCTCAGTAAAGGACCGGCTAACCCCGCATGTGTACTTTATCTTTTCGCAAAGAGTGTAATTATAAGTGAATACGAGTGAGTGGGTGAGGGAGTAAGCGCGTGAGTGAGTGAGTGAGTGAGTGAGTGAGCGAGTGAGCGAGTGAGCGAGTGAGCGAGTGAGTGCGTAAGTGTGAGTGAGTGAGTGAGTGAGTGAGTGAGTGAGATGCAAGAAGCGCCGTGCCTGCCAACGCGAAGCGAGGCCTTTGCTGTGCATGATGTGTGCTCGCGCGTGAGTGGTGCGTGAGTGATGATGAGTGTGACTGAGTGATGAGAGCGAGAGTCAGTGAGAGCAGGGTGTGAGAGCAGGGGAGGCGGAGGCGGAGGCGGCGGAGGAGGAGGAGGAGGAGGAGGCGGAGGCGGCGGCGGCGAGAGACCCCCAACAGTAAGAACCCCACACGAAGATGTGGGGAAATACACGTGAAAGACCGACGCTTCCGCCAAGATACCATCAACGGCAGGATTGGCACAAACACGTCGTCGACTGGCAGTTGCGGGCAGGTCCTGCCGACTGAACTGCATTTCGCCAAATTCAAGCTTGCGAGTGCAGAGGGCCCTCACCTGGGGTCGAGAACGCTCAAGTGTTGCCTGACATCGGAAGCGAACGAGAGCCCTCACTCCGTTGGAACGGACAAAAATCCAGCAGTCAGACTTGAATTGCTGCTGCTTCCAAGCTGCAAGTAATCCGACACGCCAACAGCCTGCTTGGGCAGTATGACGTGGTCTGTGTTGAGCAACCACAAGCAAGTCGTATGCAAGGCCCAGCACAAAACAAATCGCGAAAACGCAGCTTTGGAGCCCAGTGCGTGAACATCGTGAAGTGTGCAAAGGCTTTGTCCACATCTTGGTTGCGGCGCGGTGTGCTGCATCCCGTGGCGGCCCGGTCAATCCTAAGTTTGTCCAATTGCTGCCTTTTGGCTAAACAACAAAAACAAACGCGCTGCTGCTAAGCATCTTGAATACAGGAGATGTGCCTTCCAGCTGCTGCAACAGCCAGGTGATGTTGACCTAACAGGCTGGCCAGCATTTGAAGACATGGAGCTAGCTAGCTTAGCTAGCTGCTCTGCTTGCTCTGCCTCCTGGTTCGTGGCTGGCACCCGTGCTTCTGGATGCGGCGGCGGCGACTTGGCCTAGCGTGTGCAAGAATGATTCAAGAATGTGGTTGCTCAGCGCGTGCACTGGGATGGGCAACATTCGACAATTTGCCCCAGCACCAACTGAGCACTGCCAAGCTTGTGGGTGTTCCATCCTCGTGACCTGCCTGAGCGTTTCAGTATTTAACCTCCCACCCACCATCCTGAATGCGCCAAGGGGCGCTCGTCTTTAGCTCAACCTGCCCATTTCTCGAAAGCAGCTGAAGCCTGCGCTGCTTGTGTCGGGACAAGTCGTCTTCTTTGGCACACTGATTGGCGAACAGGGCACCTATGCCCCTCGTCTCTACGTGCTGCTGCCTTGTCTTACACACGTAATCTAGACCTTGGTCGCTCAACATGCTTCAAACATCTGCACACCTGCAGCTTCTGGCCCGACTCTGGTTTGTCATGGGCTGTGCAATATGTTTGGCTGCGGAAGTTTTTCTCTTTAGGGATCCAAACTCGTACCCCGAAGGTTCTCATGGGTTGACCAAACTGAGATTATGGCCCCCGAGCTCTAAAGTCCCTCTGACCCGACCTATCAGCATCTTCGGCGCCGACACCACGAAAAGCTTCCAAGGTGTAACTCGTCTCGAACTTCCAGAAATACTCCGTGATGGTCGTCACCACCTAAAGCGGGTTCAATTAGCTTCGCATACAGCAAGGGGGTAGGGTAGCAGAATACAGAAGAGGTCGGGAAAAATGGTCACCTTCAGGATAAGGTTTGGGGCTGGACCCCCCTTGCTGGCCTTGCTCGACCAGCTGGCCCGCGCCACGCCACCCACTGAGACCTCCTCCACACGCTTCCTTGGGTCTTCCTGGCTTCGGTTTCGGTGTACTGCTGATGCACGGTGAGTGTGCCCACCTCCTCGCGCTTCTCTTCGCGCAGAAACGTGCACTTCTCTTGGGACCTGAGAGGAAGCTGCAAATATGAAATCGAAAGCCTGGTCCTGAATGTGAGTAGTTCCTTGAACTGTCTAACGTGACACGGCAACATGACCAAGGCCTGCACATGCCAACAAAACCCCCAGGCGGCGATGAACCATTTAACAGCAAATCAGTGCCCTCGGGCCCTTTCACCATCCCTGCAAAATCCTATCCTTTAGAACGTGTTGAAAATTGCCAAAGCCCCATCAGGACACCTGAAACGCAGCGAGACCTGTGCCGGCAGCCATGTGCGAAGGCTGCTTAGCCTGTGCTCACAAAGGAAATCGAGCGGAAATCAAAGCTGCATGGTCGGTCCTCATGAGCGCCCACTTGCAAGCAACCATCATCCGCTTTCAAGCAGAAGGCTGGAAGAAAACACCTCGCTATTCTTACAGCGACAGCTCAGCACCTGCAACTGCCCGTAACTTACGCCTCCTCAACGCTGCCAGCCGTTATCTCAAAGCCCAGGGGCTGGTCGGCTGTCAGGCCCAAACATGCTAGACAGTTCAGCTGTGACGCAGCCTAGGCTTTTCAAGGCCCAGAGCAGCTTGTTAGTGCACTAACAGTGGTGGTTCGCATCAGTTTCGGATCGGGCCGATGTGAAGTCCCGGAATCCGCGATTGTGCTCCCCAAAACCTTCACAACGAAGGTTTAGACGAGGGTTAGGCATGTTAAAATGATTAATGACCAAGTCACTGCAGTCGACATCTCTTCTGTTTCTCTATTCGACATGGACCACCCCTTTTTAGTTCCAGATATCCGTCTATCTATCGACCTACCCATCTATTTCTTCAGATCGATCTATTTGTACTTGTTCTCAACCTTCTGAACGTGCATCCTGGAAGCGGCTATGCAGGTGCTTCTCTCTACGAGAAAATACTTGTCGTTGTACTGGTGGTGCCTCGGAAGCTGAGGAAATTTCCATGCCCCAAAAGCTGAACTTACACTGCCATGGACCTCGCTGTCTGAGGTGCTTGCACGTTGGCCGCCAATTGCGGTGTTTTTTCCGTATTCAGAACTAGTCGGACGCGCCTGGGCTTCGTAATGCTTCGTAGATGGTAATTGCTACTGTTCGTCAACATGGATGACTCTGTTGAAAGGATTTCGGAAAAGGAAGGATTCAAAGGATTCCATGAACATCCGGGCTTTCAAGACTCTTATAATCGAAAAAACCTGTGGAACCCTTGACTACTGTGAATTCAGGGCAATGTTCGCACTGGCCATGGGCGAATGGCATGATGGCCGCTTCAGTGGCTGAGCTTGATTCCAATCCCTGCAGTTCCACTCACCAGCTCCGAAGCCGCAACTTCAAACCAGCTGGGATGCTCAAGAGCCTTCTGCAATCGGCCTTCAATCGCTTGCAGTTGCATGGAGTGTGCCATAGCAATTGCCTGGGGCCGGTGCTTGTGGTGAGTCATGCAGAGTTGGGACTGTGCTAAAGGCACTGTGAAGCATGGTAATCTTCTAAAAATTTTCAAAGTCAAAACCCGCCGCACGGTAGGCCCATGCAGATGCATGCCAACATATGTTCAAGAATGCCGTTCCAAACACCCTTGCCTCGCGGTGCAACTAGGCGTATGCAGCGCTACGGCGGGCTTCCAGCTGGGAGCGATAATGGCTGCAACGCCTTGGCCATCCGGCCCAATATGGCTCAATTCACGTGAGCCTCAGTGGGAGACGAAAGCTCGGGACAGGGTGAGCCAGCTTCAGGCCATTTTTGGAGCAAAAACGAATTTGTTTCGCCTGCCTACGCAGGCTTGGCTTGGTGGAACACGCCCGTTTCTGCGTACCCTGCTTCCAAGCAAGCAGGGCCCAAAAAAGGACGCGGCAGGCGCCAAAAACGGACCCGAATCGCGCCACTTTTGGAAGGGCGCAAATCCTTACTCGCCACGGACCATATGACCATAAGCAAAAACGTGTGGTTAGCCTCCTTTGTTCAATTAAGCGGCAACTGCTAAGCTGTTTTTTTGAGCTGCTTGCATCAAGTCCATTCGCGGCTCATGTCACTGCCGACATCCGTGCTTCACCTTCCACTCCGCAGGCCACTGACGCGGTTTCGGCATTTGACCACGTCTCCCGTCGGCCATGCTGAGCGCCCAGCACTCCGGCCTTTACTGCCCTCGAAGGCGGCGAGCAAGGCGACCTAGGCTAACTTCTCCCGGGTGCGGCCGCGTTCGCCTTCCTTGCCGACATCTACGTCGTCGCCGAGCCCGGGCGAGTTCGGTCGCTGCTGGATGCTTTGTCCTCCGCCTGGATCGGCGGCAGTGTGGATTTTTATTTTTCGCTCGCGCTCTTGTTGCGTCTGCCTGTCCGCGGTCCCAGTGCAAGTTGTGTCGCCGATCTCAGGATCAGCTACGGCAGACGGCTGGCAGGGGGGGCGCGGCGAGGACATCACTGAGGAGCGGGATGTCGCCATCGATGTTGGAGGTGCCGTGGAGGGACCGGGAGAGCAGGCTTGCACAGAAGGCTCGCGTGGCTGCGAAGGAGAGGAGAGCAGACCAACGCTGCACGTAAACGGAGATGCAAGCAGCGCGGGCGAGAAGGGGGGGGAGAAGGGGGGGGGAAGGGGGGGGGAAAAAGTGGGGGGGGGAAGGGGGGGAGAAGGGGGGGGGAGAAGAGGGGGGGGAGAAGGGGGGGGATAAAAGGGGTGGGTGTACGAAGGTGGGGGAGAAGGGGGTAGAAGGGAAAAAAGGGAAAAAGGTGGGGTCGGAAGGGGGGGGAGAAGGGGGTGATAAGGGGTGGGATAAGGGGGGGGAGAAGAATGTGGGGTATAAAGTGGGGGGGAGAAGGGGGGGGAGAAAGGGGGGGGGAAGAAGGTGGGGCTAAGGGGGTGGGAGAAGGGGGGGGGTGAAGTGGGGGGGGGGGAGATAGTGGGGGGAGATGTGTGTGTTTAGAGGTGGGGGGTAGGAAAGGGGGGAGAGTGGGGAGAAAGGGGGATGAAAGGGGAATATCAGAAGGGGGGAGGAGGAAGGGGGGAGGAGGAAGGGGGGAGGAGAAGGGGGGGAGGAGAAGGGGGGAGGAGAAGGGGGGCGAGAAGTGGGCGGAGAAGGGGGCGGAGAAGGGGGCGGAGAAGGGGGGCGAGAAGTGGGCGGAGAAGGGGGCGGAGAAGGGGGCGGAGAAGGGGGCGGAGAAGGGGGCGGAGAAGGGCGCGGAGAAGGGGGTGGAGAAAGGGGGAGAGGGGGCGGAGAAGGGGGAGGAGAAGGGGCGTGCAAGCTGGCGGACAAACTCGACGGCTTCAGCACTCCAACGGCCCCCTACCTCAAGGGCGAGCACGCACAGGCGACACCGGCCAAAGCGGCCAAACTCGGGGTAGGCGAGGGGCAAAGCAGCCCCTGCAGTTCGGGCTCCAGCTGCCGTGAGGGGGGAAACCAAGGTAGTGTCGACAGAAAGCTGCACGCCCCCCCAGAGAGGAAGTTCATTGGCGATCACCTCCATCCGCCGTTCATCCTGGCGCGGCGTAGCGAGGTTCAGATCTCGTACCAGGACATTGGCAGCGACCGTCGCACCAGCTCCCGACACATACGAGCCGCGACACGCTCGAGGGGCATGCCGCGATATGGTCACCGGGTGCATCGTGCAATTGGCGGCATCTGCAGCGTGCTGCGGTAAGAGGCAGCGGGAGGCGCAAGAGGCGGAGCAGGAGGACGCGGAACAGAGAAGAGTCCAAGGTCAGCTTTTTTATCCACGCACCTTTTTCCCAAGTCCTACTACGGGTGGCACAGGGTGCAGTGAGCACACCAGGCGGCGGTGGGCAGCTAGGTGCTGCGGCGGCGGTGGCCCTGTCACGGCATGCGGCTGGCAAGGGGAGGAAGGGCCGAGCGATCTGCCAACACATCGCTGAGGAGTGGGATGTGTCCATCGACATTGCGAGTGTTCGCAAGAGGGAGTGCGAGGAGGCTGGCACAAAAGGCGCGCGTCGAGCGCAATGCGACACCAAAAAAGCCCACAGCATATGAGATGGTGACCTTCTCATGTGCAATGATCCTGCCTGCCTGGCCGCGGGGCAGGACACCCCCGCTCCCACTCCCCCACTCTGCGCGAAGGAGCCGGCGCACTCTTTCTTCACGTGATCTCGTCACGGAAAAAGAATGTCATCGGACCAACTTAGGGCTCACCCAGCAGGGGGGAGGCAGGTGCAGCCTCCGACAGGCGGCGAAGCACAGCCCGAGCAAGCTCTCGCTGCAAGGTCACGCTCAGGAACTGGCGCAGGTGCTCCGTGGCAGTGCCAGGCGCTTGACCGGTTCTGGCGGCAATGAACCCGCCCAAAGTCCGCCAGGTCTTCCTGGCCTCGGGACCCCAGCCTCCGCCGCAGACGAGCGGGACGAATTGCAGACCCTGATCCCGGCACATGGCGGCCGTGTTTTGGTGGCTGCGCTTGCGATCCTCATAGACCGCGCACGCCTGTCCTCCATCACGGGCCGATGCGGCCACCATCCCGGCACGTAGGCCAGTGGTCACCGCCAGGTCAAAGGCAGCAGGGCCGTGGATTCCCCAGGAAGGAACATATACATCAGCTGGGCGGCGGCCGTTTGGGCGGCGACTTATCCGGTCGGGCGGGAAGATTTCTCCACTTCGGGGGGAAAGACTAGTGCTGGCTGCTCGAGCAGCGAGCACGGAGCGGAGCCTGTTGTGGTGCTTGACCCCGTCTCCGCCGCACGTGCACGTCAGCGAGTGATCTCCGAACTTTCCGCGATCCCATCGCAGTACGGGCAGAAGCCTTCACGGGATGCACGTAGCCGAAGTCGGAGCAGCACTCGGAAGAAGTGCGGTGCCAGGATTAAGCCGAGGGCTTCAGCCGGCCGAGCCAGAAGCCAAGCGCCGGCAGCTGGCTGCTGAACCAAGCGGATGTGAGCGCGGGAAGGCGCGCGTGGCTGCAAAGGTGAGGGCAGACCAGCGGAGCACGTATGCGGAGGTGGCTGCGCTCCTGGCTGCAGCTAGGGAAGCCTGGGCTGTGCGGAGGGCCTGCAAGGCAGGCGGCAGCAACTCGGGGGCGGAGAGCTGGGCAACGAGGAGCTGTGCGAAGAGATGGCTGGCAGGGCGTCAGCCCAAGAAAGCCGCCGGTGCATGACGAACCGGAGTCCCAGGATGTCCCAGGCCCCCATGTTTGAGGGCGAGCTGTGCACGAGCGAGGGCGAGCTGTGGCAGGTCACTTGAAGCATCGGCGAGCCCGAGGGAGCCTAGGCAAGAGCTGACAGCGGCATCAAGGCCAACAGCCAACGCGATGCCAACGCGCGAGTGTCCTTCAGGCGGGAGGGCACTCAGGAGATACTGCACCCGAGGCGCAGCGCAGTAGAGAAGCAGTAACCATGCTATCTGTACGTCTGGGAGCGCAAGCAACAACTCGAAGAGGGCGGACTGCCGCGCGACGGGACTCCAAGAGCAACGAGGCCTCGCTGCTGCGGGGGGAAGGTGCTGTCGCCGACCCAACCAGAGCCATCCGGGGCAATGTCAGAACGACCGGCTGGGGCAATTCCTGCAGCATACCAGAATCGCTTCTTGGCAGGGTTGAGCCGCAGGGAGGCGCGCTGGAAGGCGTAGCGCTCCAAGCAGGTATACAGCGAGACCGCTCTTTCGGGGGAAGCCAGCACGCACGCATCATCCAGGAAGGCAAATGCATGCCCCCCATCACGGTCGCCCTGCAGGTCGCGGATTGCTGGGGCCAAGGTCAGAGGGAACATTGCTGGCATGAGTTGGTCGCCTTGCTGCCCCCCTTCTGCTTGGGAGAGAGGTGCCAGCGCTCCAGGTATTCGCCGACTCCCGGGCATACCACATCCGAGCAAACGGAAGGAGCGGGGAAAAGGCCCGGCGAGTCGCGCAGGGCTTCCAACATCGCCTGGCGACTGACGGTGTCGCACGCAGCGGAGACATCAACAGAGACAACCGTGAGCCGGGGGTCTTGCTGGGTGCGGGCCTGCAGGGTGGACAAGGCATACTGGTGGGGGCGGCATGCCCTGTCGATAGGTTCCGCATATTGCTGCGCGAGTGTGCGCGCGACGATGCGCCGAAGGAAGTCACCAACGACAAGACCACGGGTGCCCCCATTGGGTTTGCGAATGGCAACCAGACGGCCATGCGCAATTGCCGCAACGACAGGTTCGGGGACGGCGACCGCAGCGACTTGTCGCCAATGCGCGCGAGTTTCAGAGCACGCTCGATTCTTGTGGCAGCCGACGGGGCATGCTCAGGCGATCGGGCTGGGGCAGACAGGTGCACAACAGTGGTCGCAGGTAGCAACCAGATGTCTTTCCCCCCACGGCGAGCTGTTGGATAACGGGCAAGGCGTCGCGTCCTCCCTCCAGCCGGCGCGGGCCCACCGGCGAAGCGGAAGACCCTGGTTTTGCCCTCATTGCATGCTATGCCGCAATGAGTCTCGACGGCCTCC